ATCCATCCATTCATTCATCCATCCATTCATTAAGTCATTCATCCATCAATCATCCATGCATTCATCCATTCATCCATCCATCCATCCATTCATTCATTCATTCATTCATTCATTCATTCATTCATTCATCCATTCGTACATATATTCATTCATTCATCATACATCCATGCATCCATCTATTCATGCATCCATCCATCCATCCATCCATTCTATTCACCCAGTTCTTCCTTTCTGGGTCTCTGGGTTTGCTGAGGCCCACATCCAGCAGTATCTGTGCAAGACGCGGGGACACCTGGACAGGTCTCCAGTCCATCACAGGGACACATAGAGACAAACAAGACAACCATTCAAGAGACAATTTAGAGTCACCATCAGTCCAACATGCATGTTTTTGGTCTGTGGGAGGAAACTGGAGTACCTGGAGAAAACCCACGCAGCACGGAGAGAACATGCAGACTCCACCCAGAAAGACCCGGGACTGGGATTTAAACCAGCAACCCAACTCTACCCACTGTGCCGCCGTGCTGTATATTTTTGGCTCTATTGTGTTGCTCTTTTTGATAATTACTACATCTTTGAAAATCCTACATATATAAAATTAAATCTTACTGTAGCTGTGAGGAAAATGCATCAACGCATGATTAGAATTCTGTTTTACTTCTAAATCACATCAAACGTTTATGAATCAGACATTTAAATCTTCCGTTCATGTGGTTCAATTAAAAACACAACTTTAATGACACTTCCTAAACACTCATCCAGTTTAAGTACCGTAATGTCCAGACTATTGAGTGCACCTGAATATAAGCCACACCCACAAAATAAATGAAAAATGTTGTACATAGACCAACCACACTTGACTGTAAGCCGCAGGTGTCCAGTTCTAACATGAGATATTTACATAGAATTTACAAAAAACTTTTAATTAGATAAGTACCATAAATGTTTTTTCTGAACAGTGCCTGCAGCACGGCTGGTTTAAAACAAATATGGTAGCGTACCAGGAAGTCATTGATGTCTATGTTCATCTTCCTCCTGTGCACTAAAACACTACAGTCGTCTTCTTCAGTGTCAGAGCTGAGCAGCCTCAGAAAAACTTCGTCACGCGTCCTCAGTCTCTTCGTTGGCGTTCTCAACGTCACTTCTGTCTCGAGGCAAATTTACCATTTGACTTATGAGTCACGTTTATTTTGAGTGGCTGCAAATACTTTGTTGTGCCTCAGCAAGGGGGGAAAGTCCCACAGGGAGGGACGGGGAGGGGGGGTGAAGTTCCCCCCTCCACATCAGACCATTGGTCCACTGTGACCTGTTCGGTAATTTTATTCGTCAGATTTTTAATTTTTTTAGCCTTTATTTATACAGGTGGTCTCATTGAGTCACGAGGACCCGCCCCCCTTCAGAGACGTGCATTGGGCAGCTATTACCCCTTTTCCATTAGTAACGGTACAGCACGGTTTGACTCAGCACGGTTCGACTCAGCACGGTTCGACTCAGCACGGTTCCAAGGCTTTTCCACTAGGAGCGGTTCTCCCTTTTTTCAGAATCCTTTTCTCTGGGGTTCCAAGCGGGCCAAACTGGCACCAAAGCATGACATCAGAACACTGTCAGTCACTGATTGGTCAGGGGGCGGAGTCACTGGCTGTTTGAGAAATGTTCACAACACCCAGTCGGCCATTTACAATTACTGGAACTCGAACTCGAGCAGTGGCTAGATCTATTTTTAAGATTTTAGTATCAATAATGACAAGAACGTGGTCTAATGCGGAAGTGCAGGTGTTTTTTTGTTGGTGGCCGACAACAAAATTTAGAGCGAGCTAGATGGAGATCAGCTGGCCTCCCGGTCCTCTCCACTGGAGCTTCAGAGCCCCCTCAGGCCATGCAGGGCGTCATCTCCCCGACTCGGAGCTCCGCTGGTCACCACAGAGGATCCTCCGTGCTGCCGACTCAGGGCTCAGGCTCCAAATCCCGGCCATGCGGGCTCTGAGCTCCACAGAGATTCTTACAAGCTGCTGACTCACAGAAGACCGAGGTCTGGACCCCGGACTCACGTGATCATGAAGGCCGAACCCCAATCCCGGTAGACGAGCGGTGATTTTTAAAAACATTTTATGTATAAATTAAGGTATTATTATTTTTTATCACTGACTTTTCTTAGCAGGATATACAAACCGGTTTCCAAAAAAGTTGTGACACTAAACAAATTGTGAATAAAAACTGAATGCAATGATGTGGAGGTGCCAACATCTAATATTTTATTCAGAATAGAACACAAACCACAGATCAAAAGTTTAAACTGAGAGAATGTATCATTTTAAGGGAAAAATCTGTTGTTTCCAAATTTCATGGCAGCAACAAATCCCAAAAAAGTTTGGACAAGTCCATTTTTCCCACTGTGTGGCATCCCCCCTTCTTCTTCCAACACTCAACAGACGTCTGGGGACAGAGGAGACCAGTTTCTCCAGTTTAGAAATAGGAATGCTCTCCCATTCATGTCTAATACAGGCCTCTAACTGTTCAATCGTCTTGGGCCTTCTTTGTGGCACCTTCCTCTTTATGATGCACCAAATGTTCTCTATAGGTGAAAGATCTGGACTGCAGGCTGGCCATTTCAGTACCCGGATCCTTCTCCTACGTAGCCATGATGTTGTGATTGCTGCAGAATGTGGTCTGGCATTATCGTGTTGAAAAATGCAGGGTCTTCCCTGAAAGAGATGACGTCTAGATGGGAGCATATGTTGTTCTAGAACCTGAACATAGTTCTCTGCATTAATGGTGCCTTTCCAGACATGCAAGCTGCCCATGCCACAAGCGCTCATGCAACCCCATACCATCAGTGATGCAGGCTTCTGAACGGAGCGTTGATAACAACTTGGGCTATCCTTGTCCTCTCTGGTCCGGTTGACATGGCGTCCCAGTGTTCCATAAAGAACTTCAAATCGTGACTCATCTGACCACAGAACAGTCTTCCATTTTGCCACACTCCATTTTAAATGACCCCTGGCCCAGTGCAAACGTCTGAGCTTGTGGAGCTTGCTTAGAAATGGCTTCCTCTTTGCACTGTAGAGTTTCAGCTGGCAACGGCGGATGGCACGGTGGATTGTGTTCACTGACGATGCTTTCTGGAAGTATTCCTGAGCCCATTCTGTTATTTCCTTGACAGTGGCATTCCTGTTTGAGGTGCAGTGACGTTTAAGGGCCCGGAGATCACGAGCATCCAGTAGAGTTTTACGGCCTTGACCCTTACGCACAGCGATTGTTCCAGATTCTCTGAATCTTTTGATGATGTTATGCACGGTTGATGATGATAACTTAAAAGTCTTTGCTATTTTACGCTGGGTAACACCATTCTGGTATTGCTGCACTATCTTTCTGCACAACAATGGTGGAATTGGTGATCCTCTTACCATCTTGGCTTCTGAGAGACACTGACACTCTGAGAAGCTCTTTTTATACTCAATCATGTTGTCAATTGACCTAATTAGTGTTAATTGGTCTTCCAGCTGTTCATTATATGCACAATTTCCTTTTTCCAGGCAATTATTGCTACTTGTCCCAACTTTTTTGGGATTTGTTGACACTGAAATTTTGAATTAACGTATTTTCCTTTAAAATGTTACATTTACTCAGATTAAACTTTTGATCTGTCATCTGTTATATTACGAATAAAATATTGACATTTGCCATCTCCACATCACTGCATTCAGTTTTTATTCACAATTTGTTTAGTGTCCCAACTGTTTTGGAATCCGGTTTGTGTATATATATATATATATATATATATATATATACAATGTATACAATGTATATATATATACAATGTATACAATGTATATATATACATATATACATATATATACAATGTATATATATATATTCATGCCAATGGTGTGGCTCTTCCATCAATCAGCCAGTTGTTTGTCTAATCTTATTTTGAAAAACCGCGATTGAGCGAGTTCATGATAAAGGACACGAGAAGTAGTGAAGGACTCCTGCTGCTCCTTTTGTTCACATGAGTTTTTTTTTAATTTTTTTTTTATTAATAACACACAGAACTACAAAACACTACAAAAGAGAAAGATATATACAAACACTCGTGAAGGGTGTCAGAACTACAGTTTACAAGCTAGGGGGGTTACAAAATGATAAAAATTGAGTAATACATATATAAAAAACATTAAATGAAAAG